TGTCTACTCAAAACTATTCGTTTTAATAATAATCTCTCTTATATCTACTACTAGCGACTCACCCTCGCTTCGCTTCGGATTCGTCCCTAGACAAAAACAAATCTATCCCACGGGAACCGTACATTTTTCCGGGTTTAAAAGTAGCCGATGTGATAATCTATCTCTCTGCCAAATTTTATTTAGATCCGTTCAGCCGTTCTGGCGTAAAAGAGTAACACACAAACTTTCACATTTATAATATTAGTATGGATATAGATAAGTTAGTATACTAGTTCTTACATATTTATAATTCTAGCGTATTAAATGCTATTGTCTTACTCTTGCTTCGCTCGGGTGCGTCCGTAGGTACGTTTTAAATAGGTAAAAATAGTTATTGTGGGTGTACATTAGGAGATAGACAATTCGAATTTTGCGTTATTTTTATCGGTTTTCGATTTTGGCGCGCGAACCCTAAATGTTTTTCGAACAAAATATACCTTTTAAGTAGCTCTACAAACTCATCTATCTTGTCAAAGAAAGTCAGTGTAAGTGAAAGTCTCATTACAATCGGTTAAGCCGTTCTAAAGATTACCCCGGACAAATAGAAAAACAGACAAAAATTTTAAAAAGCGAACCTTTTAAAAGTACTGATATCATGTATAACTCTGAAAACATACTTATTTTGAAATCACAGACAGACACTTCAATTTTATTTATATGTATTTACATGTATGTATGTATGTCTGCCCTCCCGAACCTAAAGTGCAGTAACAGCAAAAACACGAATTCGAGAAAAACGCGATTAAAGTTTAGAATCCATAAAAATATATCAAAAAGAAACTTTTCGATAAAACCTTGAATGGAAAGTGAAAGAATATGTACCAAACTAAAATACTAAACATTGTTACGTTAGTTTTTTTATAAAAAACTATAATTATGGCAATTTTAATTTTTTTGCCCCTATTACTACACACACTTTATTTGTATAATCTTTTCAAAAACTGTTTTAAATGCAGTAAATCCTGTTATTACTGCATTTTAGACATTTCTTCCATGATTGTTACTAACTAAAGTGCAGTAATATTATGAAAATACTGCTATTTAATCTGTTTTTTTGAACAAAACACTGATATTCCACACTTATAGTAATATAAAATTACCTTTAATTTTGATAAAAATATGTAATTTCTTAAACAAAACTGGACATGCATTTATGACTATGCTATTAAAACTATTCATCAAAACATTGTACATTATAATCTAATAGTGTAAATTGTTTTATATGACTAACAATATAACAATCTTTACAAGATGTTGATAATCTTAACTAGTTAATCCACCATAAAACTATATCACATGTATTTCTCATGCATGGATCAATAAAATTTACATAAAATCTTTCTTCTGAACATAATTAATTACTAAATGAGTATTCTTGTCTTACAAAAATAATAGTCTGAAAAGATTATGGAAGGGAGAACTAAGGAGAATTAACTTATATGGGAAACAGGTTGAAAAAGTGTCCAGTAGTGAGCAGCAAATTATAGCTCAGAAACTCACCGTTAAGCCTAGTTCGCATTAAGCTAGTATTTTAGTCTAGTAGCGAGTAATTTAGTAACTAAACGTGTCTGAACACTAAAAATTTAGTCGATTAGTTTAGTAAGTAATTTAGTCGAGTCAATCCATTTTATTTTATTTTTTTGGGCGAGTTGCAGCCCCCACCACGCGTCCGAGCTCACTGGTTCACCGGCTAAACAAGTACGAACCTGTCGAATTAGTCGAGTTCATTAGTTGCCGCCATAACATTCATTAACAGAAAATTTACACAACTTTCGGACATTCTCAAACTATCGAAGTATTCTTTGGGATCTTCCAATGCTAATTCCTTCAGAAGACAATTAGTAGCTCCTAGTTTATCTTGTCTTTCGATCCATTTTCGTACCCATAGCTTCTTTTTATTAATCACACAAATTTCCTCATCCACCTCTTCTAAAATAGCCGTTACGATCAGCTTAATCAGTTTATTTACTTTATTGCGTTGTAGGCTGTTCATCTTGCAAAACACCACTCACTTGTAAACTGTACTCGACCAAAGTGCGAACGATTTTTGGTGAGTAGCGAGTAATTTAGCTACCAAATTACTCGCTACTAGACTAAAATACTAGCTTATTGCGAACTAGGCTTTACAGCACTAGCGTAGCAAGTAGATGTGATGTGAAGTTAGTAATTTTTAACGGAGTGACGTGTGCTGAATTATCATTACTTGAAAATAATATATAATTATATTGCTGTTTGCCTATGCTAGAACTATTTAGAAAAGTGCGCCACAGCAAAGCGGAAATCTTTCTTTCCTTGTTTAATTCACCTTCTTACTTTTATGACGTTATGTTTTAAACTAGCGACTCACCCTCGCCTCACTCGGGTTCGTCCCTGGATACTTTTTTTTGAGCGGAACTCTAATTCTTTTTTTTAAATAAAAGTAGCCTATATTACTCCCTATAACATCAGTTACCTTTCACTGAAAGTCCGTCAAAAACAGTCCAGCCGTTTCAGAGATTATTCGGAACAAACAGACAGACAAACAATTTTAAAAATTAGTTTTTCTTATAAGTACCGTATATAATTTCATATGCATTTAGTAAAAAGGTTTATTTTGACATTACAAACAGACACTACAATTTTATTTATCTGTATAGATGTATAGATTCATATACTTGTTTTCTGTGGCGCCACCAATTTAATGCTTGTCAGCGGTCACTTTTTATACGAGAAATAGTTCTCCTTACTTCTACCCTCCATATCTCTTTGGTACAGACACAGCATGGCACGTCAAGTCAGCCTTAAGCCACAGATAAAGGAGACTGCCTCAAACCGCGATATTGCCTGTCCTGTGTTTTAATATTTTAATAATTTTACCTATTAAAACGCAGTATTAGGGAATAGTATTTGACTTTAAGTATTTTAGGTAGTATGAATTGGATGAAGCAAACTAACTAATATGCAGTAAAATTTATAAATATTGTAAACTAAATGGTCTTTTACAAGCAACTACAAAAACATCCTACAAGTTAAACTGCAGTAAAGTTATTAAATACTGCATGTCTTTTAGTTTTTCACAAGAAATTACAAAATCCCCCACAAGTTAATGTGCAGTATGGAATGTTAATACTGCACTTTAATTAGGAATATAAATAAAAAATATTTTTTCTTAACCTTTGCAGTATAATCAATTTGTATAGAGTCGAATAATACTGCATTTTAATAAGTTTTTTCTTGAATCTTCTAGAACAAACTACTATTTTAAGTGCCACAAAATATGATAAAACACTGCAGTTTAGTTAGGAAACAGAGAAAAATCTTGTGCAGTATTAATTGTACTGCGGTTTAGCTGGTAAACATGGAATATTTTAACAGATTTGTGATATTTTTGCTGTTACACCTTCCGAAAAAACATTAAAATAAAATACTTTTATTAGCGCTACAGAAAAAAGAATTAATTTGACTGATAGCTACTAAAATGGGGATTTAGAATATATATTTAACTCAAAACCGACCAAAATGTCTATTACTGCACTTTAGGCTCAGGTGGGCAGATGTATGGATAAAGATTCTTCCCTACTACTCTAATCTATGCCCTTGGTGCTCCCATATAAAGCTTGAGTCATGCAAAAGGTTATATTTTAAATACTTCTAGCATTGCATGTAAATCCTCAGGTACTTATATCGAGTATTATTTATATAGATTTAGCAAAATATATTTAGTTCGATATAAAAATGAAAAACATTCCTCTAACATTTTATTTAGTTGATGCCTTTTAAGCTTTATTAGAGTAAACCCCTCCAAAAAATTGAGTTTGCGACTAATACGTTATTATTTATTTTTTTCATAAAAATATAAAAAACCCGTCATGTGCGTGTCGGACACGAAGGGTTCTGTAACATATATTTTTTTTAATTTGCTTAGCAGCCTTTTTGAAATTGATTTTTTTTATCTATGGATATAGCAGCAATAGAAAAACACACTCTGAAAATTTCAACTGTACCTATTACGGTTCATGAGATACAGCCCTCTGACAGACGGATGGACGGACGGACAGTGGAGGCTTAGTTATAGGATTCGAATTCAAATTAAAACATTTTCTCAGCATTAAATTATTACAATTTTTTAATGAACATCATGAATCCACTACCAGTTAGAAAGAAGAAGCCTCAGACCTGAGAAAAACTGGCGAAAGAAACTCAGCGATACTTTCGTTATCTTTTTTATAAAGTTAAGTTTTTTTATTTAGATTCCGTTGGCACCCTTTGGGTAAGGAACCCTAAGAATATTATATTGAAGGCATTGCCATTTTATGAAACTTAAAGCAATGTAGTATTAAAAATGTTTTCTATATTTATTTCGATATAATAAAACTTAAATATTTTATTAATGCTGAGATCTTTGAAAAAAATACTATTTTTCATATAGTTTTCTTCTTTAGACGTTTATTTATTAAACTTTATAAATACGTAAGACAAAGTCGAAACAATTTACGAAAAAATTCGTAAAATAGACAAGTCCTTTTTTGAAATCGATCAAAAAGTTCTTCTTACAAATTACCTGCTTATTATGTCTACACTCAAAATGGAAAAATAAAAACTTAAAAACCGACTTCCAGGCACTAAAATAAAAAAAAATTTACTAAATAAGGGTTTTCATTTAGAATAGATACCTAATCAGATATTTTCGACGTCGGTGCCAGCCTACAATATTTTAAGATATGAATATCTAATAGCTAAATACGTATTTTACGTATAGAAATATATTAGATTTGCACCAACTTCGAAAATATCGAAGTCGGTTTTTTTTTAAGTTTTTGTCTGTCTCTCTGTCTGACAGATTTTGATGAACTTTGGTATGATTATAGCTAGTTATCCGAGTCATATATAGAATACTTTTTACTGCGTGAAAATATCTCATCTCTGAGAAATCTAAACTGAATGTTAAAACTATGTTATTTATATAACTTGTATTCTTTCAGTCATACGACGACTTTTTTAAATCCCTGCTATTCAACGCACGAGTTATAGTTCAGATTTTCTTTGTGATGGGAGGATTTCTTATGGCCTACAAGATGATAGCCTACGCTGAGACCCACCAGTTTACTCTCAAAACAGTGCCCATGGCTATTGTCAATAGATGGTTCAGGTAAAAATTTTATTTATCTAAAATTGAAGTAACCCATTAGGAGCATGCTGCTTTTGAAAGATAAAAGCTGGTATTTTAATATGGGAGTTCTTTTAAAATATACCACCAGTTGACACAGTAAAGAAAAGTATCATGAGAAAACCTGTTCGTCTGAAAGAATGTAACTAGTTTTAGAAGTAGTATGCCATGCCAACTATCAATTAGCAAGCGTGGATTGATAGTTGGCATGGCATACTACTTAGACATGCAGGTTTCCTTATTATGTTTTCCTTCACTGTATTATTTGTATACATCGATGACTCCTTTTATGTATTAATTTATACGTTTATTATTTTGTTTACAGGCTTATACCAGCAGTGTTAGTAGTAATGGGGCTAGCTATGACATGGGTCCCGCATTTAGGATCTGGGCCAATGTGGGATGCTGTTGTGGGCCGTGAGCGCGATATGTGCAGATCTAATTGGTGGCAGCTAGTTATTTTGATGCCAAATCTCTTCCCATTCGAGCATTTATGTTTACCTCAAGCTTGGTGAGTAAGTCGTTCCTAAAATTATGAAGAAAAGAAAATTTCCGTCTAACAGAGTCGAGTAAAAGATATAAACCTTTTCAATAATACCAGATAATTTACTTATTAAACAAATAGAATATAACATGGCTTCAGCAAAACAAACTAAAATATCAAACATTTAGACTAAAATATGATGTGAATATCTTTGTATTAGATCTCTATCGTATATTCAAAATTGGTAAAAAACACACATACGTACATAATGTGTGTTTAAGTAATAATAAAAATAATTTTTTTGCCACAAAAAGTATAGCATACAGTATATTATGTTATATTTAAAGGTACATACACTAGGCAAAGCCTGTATCGTGAGTACCACAAGTCGTTTAACAAAAGAAATATTACTGCTCGGTAAACATTGCTAGCAAAAGTTATACATAAACACAAATAAAAAACCTTAACTATAAAAATAAAAGTATTGCTCGTACTATGTTGCATTTATATTAAGTACATAAAAAAAAACAAAAGCTTATTAATATTAATATATCTACACAGTTGCACAGTTTATGCCCATTACGATATATTATAAATAAGGTTTTCGGTAGCAAAGTTTAATTGCACTTTTTTAAGTTTTATTTAACGAATTTGACTCCTAAAATTGTATAATTTATTAACCGTTTAAATCTAGATATGAGTATTTAAATCTTCAAGGAAAAGATGATGTACTGGAACATTTACAATAAAGGATCCGAAGTAGCTTTCTTTAACCATCTGATTAATTATCGGATGAAGATTTAGTGTGTGCAGTAAAATAATAGTTGCTTAATATGGCCATTGAGCAAGTCGAAGTTTTCCTTCGACAAATTTTTGTTCATCAAAATTTTACCAATCTCTTATGAAATAAATGATAATAATTCAAACTACAAAATTTGGAAAACGTGCAAAAGTCAAATTACTTAAAAAAATCGGACACGAATTGCGATTGCTAGGCTTTGAGATTGAAAAATTGGAGCAAGATAAATCGCGCAACTGAGATGAATTAGTGTAATACGGGAAGACTCGACATAACAACTAATGAAAAATTAATAAAACACAAAACAAAAATGTAACTGTACCTATTGTAACATGAGGTAATATGATTTGTAACGAGCATAATATATAAGTATAGATATTACATTAGATTATAAATCGAATATGTATTGATTCGACAGTCTCTCGCTTGGTCTCGCAAGTGCAATACGCACTTCAATAAACGCTTAATATTAAAGCTTTATTATTTTCTCCTCACGTCCGCCACATATTGGTGACCCCGACTGAAAAAAAACACCTGACTGAAGAACAAATATAGGATGGCTACCAATTCTAAACCAGTCGTACAAGCGAAGGAAAATTTACGTGAAGATTCAGAACTGGCAACAATCTGGCAACAGGATCTAGATAACCTTGCAGCTATCGCTGACAAAATTATGGAGACCACGAGACCTTTACATGCTGCTGAAGTAAATTGTCAAGCTGAAAAATCGGATGATACGTCATTTCTTATGTCGCAAATAGCCAAGTTAAGTGTGAAGGTCATGGAACTTGAGAGATCGAGACCAAGGTATCGAAGTACTCGATGTAATTGGAGGCGACGTACTACATCACGCGGACGTTCAGTATCCGAACAACGACGCCGCAGGTCCGAATCATCGAAATGGCTATGTTTCTATCATCACCGTTTCGGCGTTAAAGCAAAGAAATGTGTTGAGCCATGTGCTTGGAAGGAGCAGCCGGAAAACTAGACAAGGTGCAGCCAAGGGTGGATGTCTGCACCATATCGCCGTTCCACCGTTTATGCGTAACCGACTGCAAAAGTGGTTTACGTTTTCTTGTGGACACAGGTGCAAATATTTCAGTGTTACCGTACAAAAAACGACTCTATGACAATGTAGTTAGTGATAAATATAAACTTTATGCAGCTAATGGCAGTGAAATAAAGACATATGGTGTTAAATCGTTAGTGCTAAATTTAAATTTACGCCGACCTTTTCGGTGGACTTTTGTGTTAGCGGACGTTAAACAGCCAATATTAGGCGCAGACTTTTTAACCTATCATAAGCTTATAGTAGATTTATATCGTCGTCGACTTATTGATCAAATAACAAATATAGATACTATAACATCGATAGTGCAACACGATGAGTCATCTATTACTACGTTGGATATAAATAATAAATATTACGACTTAATGTTAGAGTATCCCGATATAACGAAACCTATTTGTTTCAAAGATACACCAAGACACTCTGTTGTTCATTATATTGAGACTACAGGACCTCCTGTATTTGCGCGACCCAGACCTTTAGCTCCGGACAAATATCAGAAGGTAAAATCGGAATTTGAAATCATGCAAGACGTATATGTAGACCATCGAAGAGCTGTTGGGCAAGTCCACTCCACGTAGTCCCGAAAAAGGATGGTGGTATTAGACCATGTGGTGATTACAGGCAATTAAATGCCATCACTAAGCCTGACAGGTATCCGATTCCACGCTTACAAGATTTTACATATTTACTGTCGGGTAAAAAGATATTTTCGAAGATCGATATAACACGTGCCTATCATTTCATTCCCATCAATAATGAAGACATAGAGAAGACAGCCATCACTACGCCATTCGGTCTTTTTAAGTTCCCAAGGATGACGTTTGGGCTAAGAAACGCAGCTCAAACATTTCAGAGATTTTTAAATAACGTCGTACTTCAAAATCTTAATTTTATTTTTGTATATATCGACGATGTAATAGTAGCGTCGAAATCTGAATCCGAACATAAGGAACACCTCAGACTAGTATTTGAGCGATTTAATAAATATGGCTTAACTATTAACACTTCAAAATGCAATTTTGGGCAGAACGAAATCGAGTTTCTGGGATACCACGTTTCGAAAGATGGTATTAAACCCTTAGAACAACGAGTTAGCTCTATAATTAATTTTCCTAGGCCTAAAACAATCGAGGAACTCAGACGTTTTTTAGGTATGATTAATTTTTACAGAAGACATCTTCCTCAAGCAGCAGAGATTCAGTCAAAATTAAATATATTTTTACATAACTGTAGAAAAAATGACAAGACAGAAGTCAAGTGGACAGATGAGTCAATTGCGGCATTTGAACAGTGTAAGGAGAGCCTAATCAGCGCCGTTACACTATCACACCCAGCTGCAGACGCGAATATAGCCCTTATGACGGATGCGTCTAAGACTTGCATTGGCGCAGTATTACAGCAACGTGAAGGCAACACATGGAAGCCTTTAGGATTTTTCTCCACTAAGCTGAGCGAAGCGCAAACGCGATATAGTGCGTTCGATAGAGAATTGCTTGCTATCTATATGGCTATAAAGCATTTCAGATATTTGATCGAGGGACGCCCCTTAACAGTCTACACAGATCATAAACCACTCGTTTATGCTTTGAAAAAAAATTCTTATACAGACAGCGATACACCGCGTCGATTAAGACATTTCGATTTTATAATGCAATTTTGTTCGAATATTGAACATATTAGTGGATCTCAAAATATTGTTGCTGATACGTTATCACGAATTTCTGAAATTAACATGCCATCATACATCGACTACAATGCTCTTAGCGAAGCTCAGGAAAAAGATAAAGAATTACAAGTTTTATTAAAATCTAAAAATTTATGTTTTAAAAAGTTTCAACTTCATAACAGTCAAGAATCAATTTACTGTGAAGTTTCAAAACAATTCGCACGACCATATTTGACTAAAGAATTCCGAGTGCAGGCTTTCAACGCCGTACATGGATTGATGATATGCGATAAATTCTTTTGGCATTCTATGAACAAAGATGTTGCTAACTGGGCTCGAGCATGTATAGATTGTCAGAAATGTAAAATACATAGGCATACAATATCACCTTTTGGTAAATTTCCCACAAGCAATCGTTTTGAACATATACATATTGATATTGTTGGTCCATTACCACTTTACAAAGGATACAGATATTTAATTACGATGTTAGACCGAGCCACGGGTTGGCCGGAAGCTTTTCCCTTAAGAGACATAACAGCTGAGGCTGTTGCAGAGAAAATATATTCAGGATGGATTTCACGTTTTGGTTGTCCTTTACGAATTACGACTGACCAAGGAAGACAGTTTGAGTCGAATCTTATCAATCAATTATCTAAGCGCCTTGGTATTATGAAAGCTCGAACAACTGCGTACCATCCACAGGCAAACGGTGCTGTCGAACGTTGGCATCGATCTCTTAAGGCATCGTTAATGACTAGAGGAAACAATAATTGGGTTCAGGAGTTACCAACTGTACTACTAGGCTTAAGAGCAAGCCTAAAAGATTGTACGCAAACCAGTGCAGCGGAGATGGTTTATGGCAGTCCAATTAAGCTACCCGGAGATTTTTTTGAGCCTACAACGCCACTAAATTCCGATAGCGAGACATTTTTAAAGCAACTGAGAGAACATATAAGTAATATTTGTTCAGTACCCAAACGAGAGAAATCACAGAAAAATATATTTGTTCACCCTGAATTGCAAAAATGCTCTCATGTATTTTTACGGTGCGATAAATTATGTAAGTCCTTAAATCCACCATATTCAGGACCGTACAAAGTATTAGACCGTAAAGAAAAACAATTTAAAATATTAATGGCAGACAAAGAATGTACTGTTTCTATTGATAGATTAAAGCCAGCATTTTTATTAAATAATAATGAAGAGTTTGATACGCGGGATAGCACTAGTATCGAAATTCCAAACAAGGAGACACATGTAAATAATAAAGTAACGCGATCCGGCCGAATCAGCAAGCCAGTAGTAAGATTCCGAGATAAATTTATTTAAAATCTGCATCTTGGTGAAGCTATACACATTCACATTCTCTAATTATATTGCCAATAATTATAATGGGTTATAATCAGAGCAAAGAAGAAAAGAAGGAAGAAGTTATAATCGCCCAAATGGGAGGAAATAATACTTCGCAAATTTCTGAGTTAAAAGTT